CTGAGTGGGTTTTCCTCGAGTCAAAAAGATTCGAGTAAATATGCTTTTCGCGATGTTGAACTGTGTTAACTGCTCTTAGAAATTGTTGTAGGAGATTTTTGTTCGCCGACGTCAACCAAGAAAGGCTCGTGTTTTTGACGTTCTCCTCAAAGGGATAGTGTTTATATTCAAATATATTTTTGCCAGTCTTGAATCAATACGGCCCCTTGAAATTCGGTCGTGGCTTCTACTGCCAGCGGCTACAAAGCAAAACTAATGTAATTTTGTCCCGAAACATTTTTAGCGTTACCCGTGAAATATTATGTGCATCATATTAATGTTTTTACTTTCAAGCTGCCAGTATGACATCAATAACAATCATTAAACATTTAGAACTTTCAACCTTGTGTCCACCCAAAAGGGCAAGTCTCATCGATTTACTTTACTATTTCCCCTACCTGCGTTTTTACTAATTATTTGTAAAAGGGACAGTGACGTTTTATTTTGGTCACTAACAAAAGTATTATTTATTTATGATAGGCTATATTTAGACATAGACATTGGCTCGTTACGTGATTAGAACATGTTTGTATTAAATCGAGCAACTTTTGTGTAGTTAGTTACACGGTTTCCGCCGAACTTTTACCAAAATTTATTAAATCACTACCCTTTATTAGGTTTAGGATAGTTAGTTAGTGTTGCCCGATAATTTTTACCTCAATTTGGCGTGACCCGATTGCGTTAAATGTTGCAAATTCGTTAGTTTACACTAAAAAAACTGCTTGATCTATGCGATAAACGAATTGAGCTATTATGAAAAATTGAAACGTTTTTGAAATCAAATTATTATAATTGCGCTGGTAAAGCATTCATGAGGATTTATAAAAACTTGGCACGTTCTAATTGAAGTGTTAAAAAATATGTGTTTCAAGTATACGTACAGTAGTACTCTAGAATACGTCCTTGTCTAAAATCCAATAATGAAAGTAATGGTTTTGTTATGAACAATGCAAAGTCGACGGCTGCCGAAACAAATAATTAATTGTACCTATTCATACGGAGGAATTAGTTGACAAATAAAGAAATCCACACGATTGTCCACCTGTTAATATTTAAATACTGTCTGCTGTAGCCGGTCAGCAGATTACTTTGGACACATGTTGGATATTGATTCCAATGTCTCACGGTACTATAACGTTGTCAAAGGACGTCCATTAACATCTGTAACTATTATTAATTTGTACAGCGTGTGGTTAGCGCCAGCGGTACGACCCTTCTATTAATGAATAGTCTCCAATTATGTTGTTGGACAGGTATGCCTTGGGCGGCGGCAATCTGGTAACATCCACTGAATGAAACGCACAGGAA